TTTCAATAAAATAATATTTTCCATCACATCTATAACTTTTCCTTCATTTTTAACCACATATTCTCCATCAATCTACTATTCAATAATACATTCTTTCAAAAGAATGTGTCTCAAACACACTCTAAATGGTAACTCTTACAAGTTTGTGGGTAAAAAATAGATAAAAATTATGAATTTGTCGGATAAAAACAGAGCTTGATCAATTTCTAAATAATTATAGGCTTTGTTTGTCATCATTCAAAATTTTAAATTATTTACTACAGTACAATTTTCCATCAAACATTCGCGTAATAAAATATTTTACACATAAATTAATAAAGCTTCATTCCTTTTTAACAACGCATTCTCCATCAATCTACCATTCTATAATACATTAAAAGAAATTAATGTCTCTCAAACAGGGTCATTAACTTATATGCGCATTAACACCCCGTTTGTCTACCTTTAAAATAAAATTATATAATTCGTATACACAGTCATTGTCTGACAATCATTATTTTCAAATTCTTTTTTCAATATATTAATTTCAACCACACATTCAAACAACAAAATATTTTGTACGTAAATTTAAATTTTTTTCTTTGTTTTAACCACTCATTCTCCTAAAAATCACAATTCAAAACTCTATTTTTCTTAAATAATGATTGTCAAACATGAGCTCATTTTCAACCACGCATATACACAATAAGCCTCTGTTTGATGACCATTATTTGAAAAGTCTTTTTTTACATTCATTTTAATCATACGTTCATACAATAAAATATTTTGCACGTAAACTCAAATTTTTTCTCTACTTTTTAACTACACATCTTCTATATATTAAAAGTGGCTATGTAACGGAATTTCTTACTTTTAATGAAAAAACTAATGGAATTTGTTGTTTTAACGGATTATGTAACGGAATTTTTTATTTTAAATAGGCAGTTGCACCTTCTTTCAGTGTTTTTATCATAACTTTGTATTCCGATATCCGATTGAGGCGATTCAAAATGCGTTGGAAAGCTAACTCATCTGGCTACAACTTTGATTCAGACATCATT